ACACACACACACACACACACACACACACACACACACACACACACCTATAAGACTTCTAAGAGCCAGAACCAGTTCACACACACACACACACACACACACACACACACAAACACACACCCCTATACGACTTCTAAGAGCCAGCTCTGCTGCTAAACCTGAGAATGCCAGTTTTCACCATGCTCAGCAGGCCACAGGCTTCCAGTTACTAGGTGGGCTGGGGGGAAGAAGTCACCTGCTGATGTGTAGGCAAGGTACCAAGGACAGAAAAGTGGGAAGGAGAAAGGCATGCTGAGAACAGCTTCAAGGAGGCCTGGAGAGAGGGAGGTTTCAGGATATCAACACTACCACATGACAAAATCCAGGCCATATTTGACCTTCAGATGTTCTATGAGGCAGATGACCCATGTGTGGCCGCGGGCAGGTCTCCCCAGGATACTCACCGCTGATGGGGTTGGTACATCCAGCACACTTCTTCGCATACAAATCACAGAAGCAGGTCAGGCAATAGGCAAACTCATCCCGGGCTGTGAAGCGCTGCCCTGACAGCTGCTTCTTGCAGGCTGTGCACACGAAGCACTCCTTGTGCCAAGGCTGATCCCGGTAAGTAACACCTCCCATGGTGATGGGCTGGTGAGACAGCGTGAGTTAGTGTGGCTCTATCCTCACCAGATACCCTCTGCCTCCACTGTTGGAAATGGATGAGGTGTGAGCCTCACTCAAAAAACATCCAGTTTGTTCAAAGTCATGAAGAAACTGTTCTACAAACCCTACCTCCCATGGAAACAACTCCGTGTACTTCTTCTTTCTTCTTTAAGCCAGTACTAGGGCTTGAACTCAGGGCCATGGTGCTCTCCATTAGCTTTTTGCTTAAGGCTGTGGCTCTTGAGCCATAGTTCCACTTCTAGTTTTTTAGTGCTTAACTGGAAATGAGTTTCACAGACCTTTTTCTCCAGGCTGACTTCAAACTGAGATCCTCAGATCTTAGCTTCCTTTAAGCAGCTAGGATTACAACAGGCGTGAGCTACCAAAGCCTGGCTCAGGGCCTCACCCTCTTGCTTTGCTTGCTTGCTTTTGAGTCATTCTCTTTATCAATGGCTTCTTAAATCGATTATAAACTTCAGAATCCTTTAATTTTTAAATACTGAATGGACCTACCCCCAAATTTAAAGTGAGTATTACTATTAATGGTTCACCCTTTATCCCCCCCAACATTTCTGTGGTTTTCCTTTCCCCAGGAATAATTATAGAAAATAATGGGAAGCCAGAAGGCGTGCATACGTAAGGTGTCTCTTCTACCTGTAATTCCACCTCTAGTCCTATACCCCACCCCTCACCCCTCCCTACACCCCATCAGCCAACTCAGATTCAGCTCAGCCTCAGCACTGCTTCCTTAGAGAATCCCATACCCAACCCCCAGCCTCCACTCCACAGCTTAGTCCAGGTCCTTTCAATATATTTACTCTACAGCATACATGTCAATAGCCACCTGGCTGGATGGACAATACAGTAAGTTCCATCTAATCCAAACTCTGGGAGTATCTTGTCTAGACTCAGGTTCCTGCTGCCCTAGGGCTTTGTTCAAAGATGGCTCTGGTTTAAGTGAATCCTCTAACATTTAGAGGACATATACACCCTGATGTGCATCCCATAAGAACATGCTGCCTTCATTTCTGCAAGTGAGCAGCCCACACAGGTGGGCAGGATGACAGGAGGAAGGGCTGTAGAAGTAACACGCTTGGATCTTGAGAAAAAGAGGAACAGATCAGTGCTCAGAGTTGAGCTGTGAAAATGATTTCACTATTTATTTGGCTTAGAAAACCCCACAAAACCATACAAGTTAGGAGGTTTCAAACACATTTTTTTTTTTGTCGGTTGTGGGGCTTGATCTCTGGGCCTAGGCACTGTCCCTCAGCTCTTCAGCTCAAGGCTAGCACTTTACCACTTGAGCTACAGCGCCACTTTTGATTTACTGGTGGTTTATTGGAGGTAAGAGTCTCACGGACTTTACTGCCCAGGCTGGCTTTGAACCCTGATTCTCAGCCTCCTGAATAGCTAGGATTACATGAGCCACTGGCACCTGGCTTCTCTGTTCATTTTAAGAAAGCCTGTCTAGTCAGGTACTGGTGACTCATGCTTGAAATCCTAGCTATTCAGGAGGTTGAGATCTGATGATCCCAGTTCAAAGCCAGCTCAGGCAGGACAGTCTATGAGACTTTTATCTCCAGTTAACCAGCAAAAGGCCAGAAATAGGGGTGTGGTTCAAGTGGCAGAATGCCAGTTGAGCAAAAAAGCCAAGTGAGATCATGAGGTCCTGAGTGCAAACCTCAGCATCAGCACAGAAAAAAAGGCGGGGGGGGGAGGGGTGCATATGAACAAGGGTATAAGAATCAGCATCAGCACATTAAAAAAAAGGGGATGGATGTGAACAAGGGTATAAGCCATCAAGTGGACACTATCACTGTAGAGAAGCGGTGTGTACCATCTCCCATGAGAATGGCAGTGGACTCATCCCAAACAGGCTGCATTCAGTTGGTGGCCCCCTAAGGATTAGATTTTTGCTTCCAGGCTCACAAATGCAGAGAGCACACTGAAGTTTGGGAGCCAAATGTAGGTCCTCTGGGCATGGTTTACACTCAGTGAACCAAGTACCTGGATGTGCCGCTCACTGCACTTGCTAAGCTTGTGGACATAATGGGCCCCACACAAGCACCTCTACCATTGAAAACCATGCTGTCCCCCAACCCGAAGGTGCTTACAGAACACAAAAAAGATACCCCAGAAGAAGTGGAAGAAACCAGAGCATACCAAAATCCCATGTAAGACAAATGCAAATGCACAGCGGAACTCTGCTCAAGAGCTGGTACAGACCCTAACTACCTGGAGACCCTCGGAGCTACGCAAGCTTTGGAGCCACCTCTGTGTGTGACAGAGAACGCAGCAGGAAACTAAGCTGCCCTCTGAAGGACACATGAAGGAGTGACAGGGTGTTCTACAGGTGTGCAGCTTCTTTTCTGTAACCCAACCGTCATGACAGAAGTAGCTCATATTCAAGTTGATCATTTAATGAAGATCTGTCCCTTCTCCACGGAGCACCTCCTCCATCATTCTCTCACATGTTCATTCCTTCCTACTTGCTGCCTCCTCCTCCTTTCTCACTCCATTTTTTTCTCCCCTTATTCCCACTCCTTCCACATCTTCTCCTCTCCCTCATCCACCTACCCCCTTCTCCCCATTCTGTTTGTGTGTGGGGGGGGGAGAGGGGTAACTAGGACTTGAACTCAAGGTCTGAGCTTTTAGCTCAGGGTCTTAGCTCTGCTCAAGGCTGGTGCTCTACCACTTGAGCCACAGTTCAACTTCCAGCTTTTTACAGGTTAGGTGGAGATAAGAATCTCATAGACTTTTCTGCCTGGGCTGGTTTCAAACCCCACCTCTCAGCTTTTAGCATCCTGAATAGCTAAGATGATAGGCTTGAAGGACCAGTACCTAGCCTGTTATTCCCCCATCAGCTTGACAAAGCTTTGAGAACAAAGGTGCTCTTTAGGATCAGGTTGTAAGAGTGACCTGATATTTGGAATGTTCTCAAAGAAGGCAGGCTAAAGGATTTTTCTCACAGAACATCACAGTGCTTATTTCTTTGAGAAGGACCAGAGCACGACCCAGGTCATAAAATGCATGGAAGCTCATGAGAATACAGAGGTCAGCTTTCATGCCAGTATGCATCACAGGCAGTCTTTCCTTCAGAAGGGGACGTGATCATGGACCATGGAGACAAACTGACAAGGACAAGCCAAGCCCCAGGGAGCACCGCCCTACCTTTTTGCACTGAACACACTGCAGGGCGTATTGCTTCTCATAGCAGGGCACGCAGAAATTCTCATTGTCTTTAGGAATGAAACTCTTGGTTCCAATGGGCTGCTGACAGCGGTGGCAGATGAAGCAGGTCTCGTGCCAGCTGCTGCCCTTGTACTCCATTTTGCGAGTTCCTGTAGTCAGAATGAAAACAGCACAACCGTCCTTAGACTGGCCTGCAGTCTCAGCAATCTGCGATCAAAACAGGGCTGGCTATATCTGACTTTGAGACTGGAGCAAGTCTCTTCAGCTCCCAAAGGCTTCCATGCAAATGTGGGGGACACAGGGTTTTGTCTTTTGATTCAATGCAATACACCTACCTCCTATGCATGTACACAGGAAGCACTGGACATTTTTTTTTCAGTAAATGTTTGACAGCTTTTTACTTAATAACAGTCTCAGCACTTTTATTAAGCATGCAAGACTAACAAAAACTTTGGCAATGCATGACATTTGTTATATATGGTTAGGAATGCTAATTTAAAAAAAAGTGATTCAGAATTACAAAATACCAAGAGGAATCTGGCACAGCTCAGTCTAGCCTTTCTGGGGGACAACTTGACATACAGGGACTACAGTGGTCCTCCAATTTGTGGCTTTAGTGACCTCTGAGCAGTCTCAAACTGAAAATAGTAAATGGCAAGTTCCAGAAATGAACCATCCAAATAAACAAGAAACACTTATTCTTTGTGTATGTGTGTGTATGTGTGTGTGTATCTGGGGGGAGGGAATTGTGGTTGTAAGGCTTGAACTCAGGGCCTGGGGTGCTGTCCCTGAGTTCTTTTTTTTTTCTTTCTTTTGTCGGTTGTGGGGCTTGAATCCTGGGCTTGGGCACTGTCCTTGTGCTCTTCAGCTCAAGGTGAGTGCCCTACCACTTGAGCCACAGGGCCACTTCCGGTTTTCTAGCGGTTTATTGAAGATAAGAGTCTCACGAACTTTCCTGCCCCGGGCTGGCTTTGAACCGCGATCCTCAGATCTCAGCCTCCTGAGCAGCTAGGATTACAGGCGTGAGCCACCGGTGCCCAGCTTCTCTGAGTTCTTTTGCTCAAAGGTAGCACTCTATCACTTTGAGCCACAGCTCCACTTCCAGTTTTTGAGTGGTTGGAGATGAGTCTCACAGGGACTTTTCTGCACAGGCTGGCTTTGAGCCTCAATCCTCAGATCTCAGCCTCCTGAAAAGCTAGGATTACAGGTGTGAGCCACCAGTGCCCAGAGCCAGTTATTCTCAAATTGCATGCTGGTTAGTGTGAAGAAATGTCATGTTGTCTGACCCAGGCTATCTGAGACCTGAATCATTCATTTGTTCAGGGTATCTACACGGTATATGCTAGCCACCTATTAGTCACTTGGCCAACTTGGTTATCAGATCAGTTAACCATGGTATCATACTGCTTGTATTCATGTAAACCTTGCCTTACCTAATCTATAGAGTTGGACACTATTTGTTTCTAGGCATCCACTGGGGTTCTGGGAACAGATCCTCCAAGGGAGTGGGAGGGTGGACTAGTATGCAAGTTCCTGATGCACTTTTGTTAATAAACATTTTCCAAGAGATGGAAGGGGCTGGGGAGTGGATGGATTGAGGAACTCACAACACTCGCTTTATGCAACTGGCTACACCAAGTGGTGATGCATCTTCATGTGTCAGGCTCTATGCCATGGGATATCATGTGCCACTACTACCGCTTGATATGTTTCCATCATTCACTCCTCTAAGCCAGCCATGTCCTAAAGAGAAACGCTTTTTGGCTCATGTCAGAATCACCATCTACTTTCGCTCACATTAGGTTCTCCACATTTGTTAACTGGTATTTTTCCTATTCCCCCCAAAAAAATATATATACATATTTATAGCATGAGCTAATTCAAGACAGAAGATGTACACACACACAGTATAAAGCAGAAGAAAGACTTGAGGAAGTGAACGGGACAGAACAGGAAACAGAGCAATGTTTCTTAAGGGGCTAGTCCACTAAGCGTGGCCCATGGGCCAAAATCCTACATGTATTTTCAGAGGTTTTATTTTTTTGTGCTTTATTTTCTGTTGTTTTGAGGCACTGAAAATGGAGCCTAGGCCTCCTGCATAACCAGGCAAATACTCTGGTACTGATCCACACCTCCAGCCCCACAAAGACCCCCCATCAAGAAGGTCTTATGGGAGGACTGCTACACCCAAGCCATTTACTTCCACTGTCTACTGTTGTGTAGTTATGTACTGTTATGCAGTTGTACAGAGTAGCTATGGTGAGTAGCTGTGATGGAGACTTTACAGTCTGAAAAAGCCTCAAACTATCTGGTGGTTCTTTGTTTTGATTTTTGAGACAGGGTCTCACTATATAACCATAGCTGGCTTAGAACTTGAGATCCTCCAGTTTCCGACTCTTGAGTGATGGGATTACAGGTATGAACCACCACTCCTGGATCATCTAGTTCTTAATGGAAAAAATGTACAGCCCTGGCCTTACATAAGGGACAGGGACTATGGCAGGATAGGTACACACATAAGACCTCATCGTGGAATGGAGTAGTGGCTGGAATGAGATTGTATGCTTGAGACCAGGGAAGCACGCAGGTAGCATTCAGGAGCCTACAACCTAGCTATTAGCTAGAAATCCAAACATAATAGAGACGATCCAAACCACTAAGTTAAGACTGTATTCCAACTGGTTAAAATACAGGAGCAGAATTTCCATGTCTGGGGAGCTTAGGAATGCGTTGAGAATTATTGTATGATTTTTTTTTTGTTAGGTGTCATTCTTGGGCCACTTTCTCAAGTGTCCAATACCAGACATTCAGTCTCCACCACACATAGATGTCTATAAAATATGCGGGATATGTGTGGATGATGTGAGCAGGGGTTTTGTTTGTAACCTCAAAGCTGAGGTTATAATCTGGAATTTAACCCTAAAGGGACAGATTCTGAAACAAATACTACATCAAGCAACTGGATAAAATGGTAAAAAATGGCAGAAAGAGTTTAACACACATTTTAGGATGGTTTTCCCTAGCCTCCTGGGGTTTCTTTCCCCGTGTATGCCTTTACTACTTGTTCCTTTAATATCTGACCTTCACTCTGATCAGGCTGGCCAGAAACAATTGTTGTATTAGTGACAAGGGGGCAGTTATGGTCCTAACTAAAACACATCCTTGGTGTGCTCTGAAGTTTGCCATATCAACACCTGTGCTGGGAAAGTCGCCCAATAGGGAAGGCATTGGGCAGGTGGATTCTGAGAGGCAATCTAAGAGCTACTGAGCATTGGGCTTACAGTTCTGAACTTATTATACAAGGTTGCCAGCAGGGGGCAGGAGAGCACCTTCTGCTAAGATAACTGGTGCCATGCAATCTCCTCTTTGTGGAGGAAGTGGTGTGATTCTGAATTATCAGACAGGCAAGGAAACAGAAAGCTAGCTGGGTGAAGGTCTAGATGGTGTCCATTCTTGAGCCTGTTCCAAGGCATCTGTGGAGACCTCTCCCAAGGAGTTGACAAGAACTGGTCTATGTGGCGGGCGGGCGGGGGGAGGGGGGGTTGCGGGGAGACGGGGAGGGGATATGCACTGGGGATTGAACTCAGACTCTCAAACTCTCACTTTTTCATTCATGTTGGCATGCCTCTAGTACTCTAGTCTTAAGGAATTTTCTGCCTGGGCTTGGCTTCAAATGGTGATCCTCAGCCTTCTGAACAGCTAGAATTACAGGCGTGGCTAGCAATGGTTTGATAGAATTTTGTTGGATCTTCAAGAAACTGATCTGTGAGGGGTACGGGTTGATAGGGAGTTTTCACTTGGGACAGGTGTCTTGCCATAAACCTAAATTCTACCCCAATAAGAAAGCTCAGGGACAAGCGCCTAGACCCTGTGTTAAAACCCAAGAATGAGTTGTTTTTTTTTAATCGATTGTGTAAAATACCCCAAAGATTTCCTTCATTTCCAGTATCCACCCACAACCCTTCTCCAGGGGTCCAGGATCTGCTCATCGCCCCTGCTTCTTCAGTTTCTGGAAATCATCTCTGCAGCTTCAGCAACAACACCAGAGTGTCGATGATAGTGTCTGAGGCCATGTGGATCTGAATCTGGGGAAGTCTCCACCATGGCCCTCAGCTGTAGACTGGTGACTGGGTGACTGACGTGACTCAGTGGTGGAGCACTGGCCTAGCCAATGCCAGCCCTCAGAATCCCCTCAGTGACAAGAGGCCCTGTGGCATCTCCTCGGTGAGGACAGAGTGCAACCTGACCTGGCATGATGGTCTTCTTACATTCTTGGCACTTGGACGAGTACTCGTTGGAATAGCAATCGGTGCAGAGCAGCTGCTCCTCCTTGGCCGCGAAGGGTTTGTCCACCAGCGAACTCTTGCACTGGGAGCAGTGGAAGCAGCCCTCATGCCAATGCCTCTCTTTGTAGGACAAGTCCTGCAGAGCCAGACACACGGGTGGTGAGAGGCAGGGCAGGGGGTGTGCAGAGCTCCTCACGACTAACCCCCATGCAAGGACATTGTGCAACTTACAGGGGCCAAGGAACAATGAAGGGGAAGGCCTGTGGGCCCTCATGCACTGTGACCACCACACGGCTGACATGTGCAGGCGCATGTGTGAAAGGGACAGACAGAAACATAGACAGATCCTTCCTAAACGTAGATGAAAGTACAATTCCCTTACATTTTGCTGTAAAGATAACCAGAAAGCATACCAGTCTGCTCACAGGCATGGAAGAGAAGCCCTGGACATTGGGATGTTCACAGACTGAGAACCCTGAGGTCATGACCTCAGGTTAGCTGGTGGAAATGGAGTGGGGGTAAGTGGTCAGGAGAATCCCTGTGAAGGGGCACTGGTTCCATGTGGCCTGCTCACAAAGAGGCAAGGAAGGTCAGGGAAGGGGGTGGTGAGGGAGGGTGAGAGAGAGAGGGAGTGAGGGAGAGAATGGGATATGGAGTGCTAGGGGTCAGGCTGAAGGGGACACACAAGCAAGGGGCTGGGGTGAGAGAGTTCACAAGCAGGTGCATCAGGATGAAGGTTTCCTTGTCCAAGAACATGGATTTCAGTTCCTCCAGAAGGCCTGGGTAACTGAAAGGAAAGATAGGGTATGACAAATGGATGTTAACATAGGGATAGGAGCAGTGAGGGTCTGCAGTGGGCTGTATTTTTGGCAGAAATAGGGCACAGATGGAAGAGGCATAGAGAGACAGAATCTTAATTTTTTTTTTTTAGCAAGGATGAAGAAGACTAGTAGCTCCCATCTGCAATGCTAGATGCTGAGGAGGCTGAGGATCACTATTGGAAGCAAGTCCAGGCAGAGAACTCCAAAGACTCTTATCTCCAATTCATAAGCAAAAAGCTGGAAGTGGAGGTGTGCCTCAAGCAAGTGTCAGCCATGAGCAGAGAAAAAAAAAAAAAAAAAGCTAAGCAAGAACACAAGGACCTAAGTAAGTTCAAGCCTCAGTACTGGCACCAAAAGGAAAAAACAAGAGCCACAGAGAAAGAGTAGACCAGTCCAGGAGGAGAAGGGATGAAAAGGAGAAAGAAGAGGAAGAAGAAAAGGAGGAGGAGGAGGAAGATAAATGAGTGTAGGAGAGATGAAACTCTGTCACTCTATATGACCCTTGACCTTGCATGAGGAAGAAGAGAGCTTTTCATCATGACCTGCTTAAAATCACATATGGCCTACTGAACATATTAACACAAAATTAAAACTGGTCTCTTCATGTTCCACTTTGCCTTACAAGGGCTATTGCTCTATAGCTGTCCTAGCCATCATCCATGTATTAATGAGGCAGGAATAGAACTGAAGGCTGGTGCGTGGTCTCCCAAGCCAGGTTCCAGATGGAAGTTATCCTGAACACCACGTGGGAGATGCATCATCTCCCACAGCACAGCGTCACTGTCACCCACGCTGAAGTCACACCTGGAGGGATGCCAGTGTCGGCTGCAAAAATCAGCTCTTGATTAGAAAGTCCTGAGACACCCACCAAACTAACCAAAATTATACATTTTATTTTGCTGAAATACCACTGTGTGTGTGTTTTCCCAGAATTGAAAGTTATTTGACTCAATCCCTTTGTATATGTGGTCTAAGCATAAAGAAAGTTTTGAAAATTTAAGTGTTGAACCGGGGGCGCCTTCCCTGCCTAAGGACTGGCTTCCTCAAACATCTTCAAGTGAGATTATTGCGGATGCAAAATGATAGAGAATGAAGAGGATGCTGGGTGCCTATAATCCTAGCTATTCAGGAGGCTGAGATCTGAGTATCATGACTCAAAGCCAGCTCTGCTCAGGCAGACAAATCCCTAAGACTTCTCTCCAATGAACTAGAAAAAAAAAGCCTGAAATGTAGGTGTGGCTCAAGTGGTGGAGAGCCAGTCTTGATTAAAAAAGCTTAGTGAGAGTGCCAAAGCCCTAAGTTCAAGCCCTAGTACTGGTATGTGTACACACACACACACACACACACACACACGAATGAGTATGAGACAAGTGTAAAATGTTCCACACACACACACACACACACACACACACACACACACGAATGAGTATGAGACAAGTGTAAAATGTTCTCCAAGCCCAAAGTCTGGCCTCCTTTCTGAGTGAGGTTTATCCTTCCCAGAACTTCTGAGCTAGGGACACAGTCCACTGAAATGTCAGAGCTCTCTCAGCTTGTGTGGATCTCAACTGCAAAGTGTATGAATTGGGGCAGAGGAGGAGAGAAGAGGACTCACTTGTCTTTTATAGTGTGTGTGTGTGTTGGTGCAGGGGCTTAAACTAAGGGCATCACACTCACCATTATCTTTTTCTCTTAAAGTTGGTGCTCTACCAGTTGATCCACACCCCCACTTTCCAGATTTTTGCTAGTTGGAGATAAGAGTCTCTTAGATGTATCTCCTTGGGCTGGCTTTGAATCTTGACCCTCAGATCTCAACCTCCAGAGAAGTTAACATTTCAGGTATGAGTCACCAGCACCTAGCACCTGGCTCCGTCTTTGATATTTTAATCTTTAAAGTATTTTCAGAAATTTGCAAGAAAAGTCATTGTGTTCTATTGGTTACTTTGATAAATGAAAGTATAATCTGCTTTGAGTTTTTGTGTCTTCTGTGGAATCATGACAAAAATGTCAAGCTCATAATGTGCACAAAGATGTCATTATCATTCAGAATTGACAGTCATGGCTTCACGTCTCTCTGTGCACAAAGACATCTGCCTGGCTCAGCTAAAGCATCTGCCCAGCAAGAATGAGGCCTTGAGTTCAAATCTCACTACTGTGAAAAGGAGGGGTGGGAGGGAGGAAAAAAGAAAGAGAAAAAACCAAATGAGTGGCTGGAAGGGTGTTCAGTAACAGATCAAAAACAAAACAAAACATAAAATAACAACCCTGCCATGTGAATATTACTATTGATGCTCAGAGAAGTTGTGTAAGCTTCCCATAGTCCCTCAGTGGCAGTAGCTGAGCCAGGCTTCCAGCTCTAATCCTCATTCAAATGCTGTGAGATCCTGGTCAGGCCTGAGCTGCTCTTTGCTTTAGAAAAATTTATCTTTCATAAGACCCGTGTGTACCCAATGAAAAAATTCAGAAACAACAAGACTCTCACAACTTCTAATGCCATATTTCCTGTCCAAATGTCCAGTTCACCTTGTTAGACTGAATAAAGGAAGCTGTATGAACCAGGTGAAGTCCAGTCTACCATGAACACTCATCAGCCTAATTCAGAAAGCCTAAGTATTCAATAATGGATTGGAAACAAGAGATGAAAACTGGAATAATGTTCTTAAAAGTTTAATTTTATATGGCTGGGCACTGGTGGCTCATACCTGTAATCCTAACTTCCCAGGATGCTGAGATCTGAGAATCATGGTTCAAAGCCAGCCTGAGCAAGAAAGTTCATGAGACTCTTATCTCCAATTAACCACCAGAAAACTGGAAGTGGTGCTGTGGCTCAAGTGGTAGAGCACTAGCTTTGAGCTGAAGAGCTGAGGGACAGTGCCCAGGCCCAGGGTTCAAGCCCATGGCCGACAAAAAAAATAATTATATATAAGCTACTTAAAAATTAAAGATTAAAAACATTAAAAATAACTGAGTACTGGTGGTTCACACCTGCAATCTGGCCACTTAGGAGGCTGAGATCTGATTGAGGTTTGAAGCCAGGCCAACCGAGCAGAAAAGTCTAGGAGACTCTTATTCTCAATTAACCACCAAAAAATTAAAATTAAAAAAAAAACAAACAAGTGGAGTTGTAGTTGAAATAGTAGAGCACCAACATTGAGTCAACAATCTTAAGGGACAGCATCCAGGCCTTAAGTTCAAGCTCCAGTTTGGCACGTGCGCATACACACACACACACACACACACACACACACACACACACACACACACACAAATTGGTTTTAATGATTAAATGGAAGGTAGAAAACATTTCTTTCTAAAGTTAGTTGGGCTCCCTTGCAGAAAAATCAGCATATAAAGTATGGCTCTGGATGACAAAACCTGAAAACTGTTTCACTAGTGAAAAGTGAAATCATTGCGTGGCTAAAGCCCAGGAAAAGGGAGAAAGGTCAGCAGCCTCTTCTCAAGAGATCCAAAGACAATGGAAAACGAACTATTGTTTCAGGGCAGTGACTGCCCAGAGAGCAGTCACCAAACATGGCATGGTAGGGTCAGTCACACCTTGTTAGTGAAAAGAACAGAAGCATATGTTCAAGGAAATTTGCCTTTGGGAAATTAAATTTAAAAATTAAATTTTAAAAAGAGGAGGACGCTGGGCACCAGTGGCTCAAACCTGGAGTCCTAGCTACTCAGGAGGAGGCTGAGAGTCAGGATTTCTTCAAGATCTAAAGGGTTGAAAAGTCTTGAAAGATTGTCTCTAAACTGGCAACAAACAAGCTGGAGATGGATGTGGCTCAAGTGATGAAGCACTAGTAATGAGCATGGACAATAATTAAGCATAAGGTCTTGAATTCAAACCCCAGCACCACCAAAAGAAAAAAAAAAAGGAAAGAGAAGTTGTGGAAGTAAACTTCAAGGATGACCTCACAGAAGTGAAGATCTGATGTCAGTCTGCCCTAGTTAGGGATTCCCTAGAGAAAAATGTAATTGGTGAATTGGGTAACCAGACTTTCAGCAAAATTGGCTGAAATGCTCCTGTGGATCAAAGGTTTTATATAGAAACCTATTTTTTTCCAAATCCTGGGTTTTTGTTTTTGTTTTTTTCTGGGAGGAAGGAGACACATTCTGGCATGAAGACAATAGCTATGGGGTTGACACTGACTTGTGGACTGACATTTGACACTTCAAAGTCCCCCTAAATGTGGACACTGCCCATGTCTTGTAGACAGAAGCATCAGTGAAAGACCTTTGAGGTCCGGTCCCCAATCTTGATTGTGTTCCACCCTCCCCACCTCCCATGCCAAGGATTCTCCTGTTCTCCAGG